TGAATCTCGATGAAACTTTGGTCAGAACCTCGATTTTTATTTCATTTCCTCTGGGGCTCCACCAGTGCCTCTGGAATAATGGTTTCAGTGGCTGGCCCCTGCAGGGTAGGTAATTCCTCAGTTCTGTAATGCTGATGAGGGAGGTGGGTCTGAATGCATTTCAGAAGTATGGGCTCTCCCTCTCTCTTAGACACTTTGGGAAAGGAACACTCTTCTGACTGTCCCCATTCTAGGGCAAAGGGATTCAACAGAATAGGAATGCTGATCAAAGAAAACCTTCAGCCGAATTAAATTTAAAGAAGTTTAACAGAGCAACGGATGATTCGTGAATCAGGCAGCCCCCTAGAATCACAGTAGATTCAAAAAGACTTTAGTTCAGCCACGTGGTGGAAGAAGATTTATAGATTTAAAAAAAAAATGATGTACAGAAATCGGAAGTGAGGTACAGAAACAGCTGGATTGGTTACAGGTTGGAATTTGCCTTATTTAAACACAGTTTGCACACTCGAGAGTGTATGAGTGGTTGAGGTATGGCTGCTGGAATTGGCTAAGACTCAGCTATTGTTACAGGTGCATACTCCTACATCAGGTTTTCAATGTTGTCTCCCTATTCAGGCAGGTTACGGTTTGTCCACAAAGACTCAAACATAGAAGTACGGAGTCCTTCTCAGGCCGTATATAATTCACTTTATCAGTGCCCTTCAGTATGTGGTTCCTGAGAATTTCACACGACAACACGTTTACCACGCTGAAATTTAAGCAATCCAACACATGTTTATAGCTTCATCTTGTAATAGGCTATATGTCATATGGCAGCCTCTGCCTCAGTTTAGCTAACATCATGGCTTTGTTTCTTTCTATAAGAACTTGTTTCTCCCAAGATTTCCATGTTTGTGAAAGGAAAATAAATCTTTGGGACCCCCAAATCACTAAGCCAAAGGGAAAAGTCAAGCTGGAAACTGTTTGGGGCAAACCCCCTCCATTATTTCCCTAAAATGATAGCTGCTAAGGTTTTACAAAGCTACACACCTCCTTCAAAATTTGACCACAAGGAAAACCCTTGTGGACCAAGGACAGACACAGTGATTTTTCTGCTCATGTAAGTCAAATGCACATCTGATTGCCATCTTTGCTCTATTGTTTCGCCAACGCAGACTATGGTCTATGTGACTATTCCTGTAAATTGTGCATTCAGTTAAAGGCTAATCAGAAACTTAAAAGAATGCAACCGTTTGTCTCATACCTACCTATGATCTAGAAGCTCTCTCCCCACTTCGAGTTGTCCTGCCTTTCTGAACCAAACCAATGTACATCTTACATATATCGATTAATGTCTCCTGTCTCCCTAAATTGTATAAAACCAAGCTGTGCCCCACAACCTTGGGCACATATCATCAGGACTCCCTGAGGTGGTGTCACAGGCATGTCCTTAATCTTGGAAAAATGAACTTCCTAAATCTATTGAGATTAGTCTTGGATAGTCTTTGGTTTACAGGTTTGTTTTCTATCACATAACTTTAATTATCTGAAAAACTAAAGAAAATTTGCCAAACAGCACATTCTCTTGTTTAATCTGTTATTGTTTTGTAAAAAGAAATATATGTATATAATTTATATATAATTTTCCATCGATGTACATTACCAAGCTGAGTAGCACACTTATTAGTAAGACTCAGAGTAATAAAAAATACAAGTTCAGTTAGCAACTTAATGGAAAAACAAATTATGCTACATTTGTTTGCTGAAATGCTACACACTATATATAAGAAATAAACAAACACCACCAAAAGCTTTAATTCTCAATATTTCTATTGAGAAAAATAAGCCAAATAGATAAGAGTATATACTATATTGCTTTATTCTGATAAATTCTAGAAAATGAAAGCTAGTTTAAAGACATATGAAAACATTAGTAGTTTTATAAAGAAATGGTAGAAGAAGGGAAGGAGAGAAAACAAAAATCATATAAAAGACCAAGAGGAATGCCGAGGGGAGCTGACTTGTCACCTTCTTTAAAATAGGAATTTTTTTTCAACGCTTACTATTGTACAGGTTAAATGTGAATTTTATTGTCTGTCAATTAAAACTTATAAAATTTATTACAAGTAAACAACTGAAATTTTAGACAAAGAAGGAATGATAGGAAGGGACAAATAAATATGTTAAATGTCAGGTATACCTAAACATTTACCTGCCTGAACCCTTTCTCCATATTTTTAGGTAAATGAAGCAAAATCACACAGGTTCTTGTGACAGGAAGTGGATTCTGCAAACCACACTGGGCACGTTTAGCTCTGTCCTGGAGTTGATTAAGAGAACAACTGAGGCCAGCTGTGAGGAGCATAGGCCGGGATAGTAGGACTCACTCATGCCAGATATAAGCCCTTAGACACAT